ATATAACCAGGAAAAAACCACAAAGCACAGGTTTGGGAGTGTATCTACACAGATGCAGTCTGAAAAATTGATCCAAATTGCCTAATGCGAATTAGTAAACAGCATGAATTTTTTGTCTGGACACTGCCCACAATAAATTGGCTTTCAATTCATCCAAAACCGAATATTCAAGCTAAAATAAATCAAGCCAATGTTAACGTTAAGTAAAAGCATCCACACGAAAGCTTAATGTGATTTTCATTTAATAAGTGAATTAAAGTAACTGTTCTTAGAGCCTCTTTGTAAGTATAAGCCTCTTGTTTCCACTACATCAATATACATGCCAGAGGTACATTAATAAAGTCCCCAGTCTATTAATATTACTTCACTTCCTTGCATTATTTATTCTCATCTTGAAAAGTTTTAATAAAAGGCTTAAAGTCTTCCCTAAAGTTAGAAGCCATCTTCCTTTGTTCAGAAATGAAAGAGTGGACACGGTGCTCAACCCTGTTCTGCGGCAGCTGCTTTGCCCAGACGGTCAGATGGGTGTTCAAATACGAACTAAATATTCTCAGAAGGCAGCTCGCTTCCCTCGCAATGATTTCTGTATGCCTAAGAGACGTGACTTTCTTCTTAGACGCGGATCCTTCTCGATTAGGTTGAAGAACTATTATTTTCCCAATTGACTGCGAAACAGCGCTATAATCAAGAGACATCCAGCGACTGCTACTCAAAGGACGCTGTATCCGCAGCGCCCAGCCTACGGACTATCAGCCACGGCTCCCTGCAAAATTCATCCGGCTCGTTGGCCATTCCCAAGCCGCATGAATTACTCTGCTGGCAGGAGCCCATTGCTGGTCATCACCTGCACCGGGGCCCCACGGCTCCTTCCTCTTACATGCGAGCATCCTTGCTGCGTACTGTGGTGCAAGCGTCGCTTCATGGGAAGGGGTTGTGGTAAAAAATAAATAAATACCATGTGTATGCGATGCTTATTAAGTGATTATACTGCAAAATCAGATCCCTTTTTCCTGTTAATACACAGCATCTCTTCCATGGCACTTGGCAATGCTAAATTATTACTGCTGCATTTATTTAATTTATTCAATATTGGATGGATGTCTAAAAAAACATAAAACATGAGTGCTTCAGAGGAGGGACCTTATCTTCACGTAAGTCACAAAAGCAACAGCTGGCATATATGGCATTATAGACATAAATCATGACTTCCACATATAATAAAGTGGATAGAAACACTGTGTCGGTTTCCTATGGAAGAAAACTATACGTGAAATACTCATATTCTAGCAATTAGAACAGAAAAAAGAAAACAAGTAACAGTGCCAAGTCACTTGAACCTGAAACTTGGAATGGGGTTTATTAAGCACATGTCCCAAAGCAGAACAAGAACATTACAGAAGAAGTGTGCCCACTGGCCAGAAGAAACACTGTCACCAAAGCTGACAACCCAACCGGCACAGAGAACGGCTTAAGGAGGCTCACGTCGTAAGTTTTATTTTTACCACTAGAATAAGGACCGAGTTAGCATTTCAGGTCTGCTTCCCAAAGATTCAATCAGCAGCAAATGGCAAAGGAGTACCCGTTCTTTTTCACTTTTATTGAACTACTACATATCTTACCTATTAAAATGAAAAATGTTAAGCAGAGAGGCAATAACAATATACGCAGGGACCAGGTTTTTAGAAATTCCACAGGACTAAGGGATTTTGTGGATGAGATGCCTGGCCACAAATTTTCAGCTGTAGTACAAACTCTCCCCCCTCCCCTTTACTCCCCTCCACCCCCCCAAAAAAGCCCAGCAACCCACTCGCCACAGTGAGCCATCACAACTTTTTATGAAAACTAAAATTTGATGTAGACAGGAAAAAACACAGAGAAAACCTAAACTACCAGGAACTGCAGTTTTTCTCCTTTATGGTTTGGTTTTTTGTTGTGTTTTTTTCTTTTCTTTTTTTTTTTTTTTCTTTCTAATGTTAAACATGATTTGCTCTATGTCTCTAGACTGAGACTTTTACAGTCTCCCTAAAATCAACTGACTCGGAAGCAAGTTTTTATTAACCTACGGATCTGGAAGAGGTATACAGGGACGTGCCAGGCAGCATTAAAAAAACCTTCTGGTGCCCCCTAAATGTATTCAGAAATGATATTTCAAGTTTGTTATTTTATTATTTAACCAGGTTTTCTGAGTAGCCATAGATCTAATACCAAAAAAAAGCTAACTGTATGCCAAGTTCTGCTTTCTTCAAATACCCCAAAAAGCAGAAAAGAAGAAAGTTCCATAATTTGTCTTAAATTTAAACAAAAGGTAGATCTAATGCCAGCAAAAGGCACTACAGAAATGTCTACCCAGCAGAATGAAATGCTATGCAGAAACACCCCTGCGTGCTCTTTCATGATTTTGCCTTACAATGCAGCTGATGTAAAAGGCTGCACGTACAACAAGCCCTCGTCGTCAACTAACCCAGCTCATAACTAACTAACTAAATAGATTATTTAAGCTTGCTGGGAAGAAAAAACAACTCCCAAAGCCTCAAAAACACAGCAAAAACAAATTAAAAAAACCCCCAAACCCAACAAAAAGACACTCTCCTCATCAGCAAGCGTCCTGTCATTGTCCAGCCCATAATAACTTAATATATCTTGGACACAATAAGCGCAGTAAAAGGATTTCTTCTTGATTTCAAAAAGATAGATTAGGGAAAAATACGACTGCCATTTACTGACATTAGTGAGTCTCTTTCCTTGCCATTGGATTGTTTTCTGATAATTCTGCCATGAAGCGCTGTATTACCCCTTCCCAGGAGTTACTTCTCACAACAATACCCGTAAATTCAGTACTGTTATTTTATCACAATTAACTTCTCCCTAGCAAGCACCTTCTTCAGTATGAAAACATGAAGAGCAGAAACTCAAAAAATGTATCTTACTAGCAACTGATACCTTCAAAATACAGCTTAAAGTGACTGTGGCACTCTTCTACTAGTTTACTACACAGAAATCATATACATCCACCTTCCATATCCATTGACCTTCAGCAGTGGCTTTCTTTTAGATTTCTTTCAAACACAATCCTCTATATTTTTACAGACCTGAATACCTGTGGAGCTTGTGGGATGTGACACGATGAAACTAAGTGATTTGATCAGCCATAGAGAATAAAATAGTTCACTGAAACAGATCCGTGTTCCCTGATTGCCTTTATAGCAGAAGTTTGCAGTTGCTATGTTCTGGTGCAGCATCCCTACAGAGTAAAGTGATTTTCCACTTTTTTTTCAGTCTTCACTGAAGACAGTATCAAAAGCCATCTCTTGTTTTGTTCTGCTTTGTAATGAGATCAGCTTGATTGGCATTATATCACTATATAATGGATTAAGATGATGCTACTTACAACAGTGGCTTCAAACAAAATTCTGCCTTGATGTTAACTGAAGAATACAGAACCCTGTGTTAAGTGCTGCTTTCATACTGTAGGCAGCTGAGGTCACAGTTTTGAACTGTTTTGATGTCGCTCTGTACAGAACATGCGGAATGATTCAATACCTTGCTGGGAATCATCCCTCCTGTAAATATCTTGTAACATGACCTAATTTGCAATCAGTCAAAAATATCACCAATTAGAATAAGCGTTTTGCCATTAAGTATCTTACTGCACCGTTAGAGCTAAGGTAACAGTCTGCTAAATCGCATACAAAGGATTATAATTTCAGTACCTGAGCAAACCAAAAGAACTTGATTATAATCCAAAAATATGCAAATATAGCCTTCAATTTAAAAAATAACAAGTTCATTAGCTTTTGCATAAACATTCTGTTTCCCTTAAATTTATACAAGCATAAAAATTGTCTTAAGAAGGCATTTAATTAATATCTATAAAGCATTTCCAATTTAAGCAGCTGCATTTATTTCACTTAATTACCATTGCTCAACTCTAGGTATTAGATTTCTACCAGAATACAAAGCAAAAATATTACTATTCTGGAATTGGCATAGTTGATTCCCAGTGAAATGCACAGAGATCCAGAAAAAAAAAAAAAATTTCTCTTAAGTATCAGAAGAAAATTCAGCCAGATAAGAATACAGTTTTTTATGTCAAAAACTCACAGTGAAAATGCTGTGAACTGCACACCACTATTAAAGAGTTCTGACAGAACAGATGGGATGTCAGAATAAGACCAACTGGTCACTAAAAGTGAAAACATAAATGACAGACATTTAGTTTTATTCTTTGAAACGTGACGTCATCCTCAAGATCTTCATGGCATTTGCTGCATTTCAGAAACCGTTAATTTAGGGAAGTGGAAGCTGTTGATCTGCTGGCCATTTCACTGACAGCTACTGCAATCAACCAAACCCTTTTTTTGACTGTCTATAGATAGACTAGTAAACATGTTAATTGTCAAATCAGTAAGACTTATTAACAGACAAGATCTGTAGCTATCTCTGCTGCCCACAGACATTGGTCATTCATAGGGAGGAAGGAGAGGAACAGGCACTTCTGAGGAGTTGATTTCACTCAGGAGACAGGGTAGAGTTGCAAACTCTTCATCAACAAAACACATAATGGCAGTGTAAGTTACTTGAAAAAACAGTGCCAGTGAAACGATTCATATTATTTTCATATTTATGGAGGAGCACAATTTAATACATGTGCTGATCTTCTGGATACCTGCATATCAGAACATCTGGGTAGCTGGGGCTGGCAGAAAAGAAAATAATTCCTTAGTACTTCTGCTACACCTGAAGTGGTAGACTGAACCTTCTCACATATACCACAGTGTAACAGTTGCGTAAGTTTGAAATTTTCAGAAAAAAACCTAATTAACCAGCGTATGACACATTCAACTCAGAGAGGGTCAAAAGTCCTAGTAGCAGCGGGAAGATATTTGCACATATCACAATGGTATTTGCAATTCCTCCAAAGCAATGGAACACATATTTATGATAATTTATTGTCTTCATCTTGTTTCCAACTATCACATTAAAATGGTAAAATAACTTACCGCTGGGGTTAAAAGCCATGCAGCAAATGGGCTTTTCATGTGCAGGGAAGTGGGCCACAATGCCATCGCTATCGGAGTCCTCGCTGACAAGTACCTGCATAATATTAATACAGACAAAGGAAGGTTAGGAAATAAAAATACACCTAAGAGAAAATACCAACTTACTGATACAGGAATTGTTTTATAAGATATACACAGTGGTATGAATTAGAAATATAACTGTGCGTGAACCAAACACTATCTGCTGTATTTTTTTCAGATAGAGACATGCTCGCATAACCTGTTATTAACTAGAAAGGATTATGCAGTTTATACCTGGATTCCTTATTTATTTATCCTATTCAAATAAGACAAAATGGAAAAAATATTACTGTTTGGCTGCGTACAAGCTTATTACAAAAGAAGTCTGCATGCAGTGCCCAGGAATTTACATTTAAGGTTTCCATTGCCGCTGGCCGAAGCAAGGGTTGGGATCTCTCTGTAAGTCTACAACCGAGAGAGTCTGTTACTCCGAAATTTGTGACCGGAGCTCTCCTGCTCATTCAGCATTCCGTGGACAGGAGCTCTCATTCCACCAGACCCAGCAGCAGCATGCAGTTGGACTAACGTAATGAGCATCAGTATAATTACACTGAAGAGCACACACAGTTCTTGAACTATAAACAACACGTGATTTTCGCTAAGCAATAACAAAAAAAAAAAAAAAAAAAAAAAATCACATAATGGAATGAAAACCAAGAGGTAACAGAGTCTTGCAAAGAAAAGGGAATATTTAACAATTACATAAATCAGTATTCTCTTTGGGAGGATTCAAAGTATACACGGCAAACAAGTGGAAAAACGGACCAAAAACCCAGTCAAAGAAAGCAGGTTTGGTTTCCACCAGTTGCACAGGTAGGAACACTACAGCTTCATCCTGCTAATAAGTGCTGATGGACTGGAGGTCTCCGGATTTCCAAAGGACACAAGAAATGCTAAGGACTAGGAGCGCATATGAAAGCAGCTGCACTGCAAAGTATGCAGCTAACAAGAATGTTCTCCATCTTGAAATCGCCTCGATGGACATTAAATAACAGTATTGCAAAGGTTGTTAATCAAAACCCCTTAAAAAAAAATCACGCTGTTGTAAAATACGTTCTTGTGAAGAAAAAAAAAGGCAATTAAAGGTAGGAGAGAGTTTTCACCACAAAGGGAAATTAAATGGGAGAGGAAATATCTGGACTGAGATCTCTGTTGTGCAACATCATCTGGAGAAAGGGACAAAGGATGAGCTTTTGGGTTTTCAAACAAAAGGCTATTTGAAGTGGATAAAACTACTCGGGCCAGTCACAACCAAAGGTGACTGTGAAGCCCCACAGAAGGGCCCCCAAAAGGACACAGGATTACCGATGTCTAGAAGTACGAAAAGGAAGAGATATTCTTAGAGACGAGAACCAAAAGATGTGTGGACAAAACATATGCAAGAGCTGTAAAAGTATTTTATTCCTTGGTTACATCATGTTAAAGACTAAATTAAGTAAAACAGTGAGAAAGATCTGTCAGAAAAGGACTTAATAAAAGGGTTTCTGTGGTAAGCAAAAACCACCTTCTTAATAAGATAGTGCAAAATTTCCCATTTCAAGTTCAGAATCATTTGTCTGCCGCTTCCAAAATAATCTGAAAGGTTTTTAATACTTCCTATTCCTAACAGATATCAGAATAATTTGAAGATATTTTTATGCTTCAAAAAGAGAAATCATCTTTAAATGTTTAAAGAAGTCACGTAATATGGATGAAGAGGCCTGCGCCTGACTTACTTTAAATGTTCAAATTACTTGGCACTGTCACATAAGCACAATTATGGTTTTGCTTTCCGTTGTCAGCATTTCGTGCTTATTCCAGAACCACTAACCAAAGGGTCTGGAGATCTTCCTAAGAGCTTTTCAAAGAAACAGTGTTCTTTTCTCAGCCTATATAAACTGCACTAAATAACTCCTATACATCATCTTTTCACAGCTTCCACTTTTAGGTATCTTGGTCTTATCCTAAACATTTTGTTCTAATTAAAGATACACGCTAATGATAAAGTAGCATCATAAACCAGCTTTACAAAAGAAATAGAAGGGTTTTTTAAATGTAGTTTGTTAAACAAAAATATTTAATCTACAAATGTGTGAGTATCAACAGTCTCTAAATCATTGCTAAAAACAGTTATATAGCATATTTCACACGCATCATCTTCTACAGACTGTAAACTGGAATTCAGCATGGCTTTTTTTTTTTAAAAACCCCTAATGATAAATGTACCACTGTTATCATCCCTGCACCATAAAAACCCTATTCAACAGACAAAGAACACTCTGGATGGTAAGACGACCTTTAAATATTTTTCCTTTAGAAATATGATACAAAGTAAAAATTTCACAACATTAAAAATTGTGAAACACCTCAGACATACCAATTTGAGAATACAATAAGGCCCAAATCTATTATTTGTATGCTATGTTGATTCCAGGCTTTAAAATGTTGGGGTTTTTGTTTTTTGTTTTGTTTTTGGTTGGTTGTTTGGTTTTTTTCCAATCACTGCTTAAAATTATCTTCCTGGAAAAACACCCTTCGTGTTTAAAACAAGTTTTAAAAACCAAAAAAATCTTAATTTTTCACTGTAAAAGCAGATTTTCAGGTGTAGCAAACCAGTCCTTATTTTGGCTGTTATACGATTCCATTGTTTGTGACAGAAATATAAGGAAGAAGAACTTAAGAGCATAACGTCCCATCAAGAAAGAATGAAAAGCCACTGTGTGACCTTGTGGATCCTGAAAACCCTCACCAGCCACCAAGCCTGGCTCATGCAGAGCTTTCAAACTCAAACGAAAATATTTTAGTCTCTAGCATTAGCCAAGTAAAAAATAAAAGTTAAAAAAGATACAAAAGCACCTTCATCACTCAAAAATTCGGAAATCCTTGGGTAATGAGGAATCTGAAACCCAGGCTGTGATGGTGCCACACCACCTCCTTCCTTGGCATTCGAGATCTGTCAGTCCCTGCCCACCGTGGCCACAGAATGGAAAGACTCGCTTCTGAAACACACTCATGGAAACACACTTGCTTGTGCAAGGTAAGATGAAGTTGAAAAAACATTCCTCATCTTTTTAAAATCAACATGAAAAAATAAATCCTTGTGGAACAGAGAAGGAAAGTACTTTTTAAAAAAATCACTAACTTGTATTTAAATCTTCAAGCTGCACTGCAAGATTTGTCACGTCCTTTCCCTGCACTTTTGCAGTGGATAGTTGGGAAAACATACATCACTTTTTACAATTTCAACACTACAAAGGAAGGGGGGGAATAAATCAAAGGAATTACAGCAGTTGACTTTACATCATCAACCAAAGAAGAGCCTCTTTGGAAATGTCCCTTCCAAACCTGCCACAAAAAGCCTGGTTCACATCCCAATTTAGAGCTTGCATGGCTTTAAAGTCACAGTATAGTCACCATTATCTATAACTTAAGGAGGACAAAATGGAGGAGGACAGATGCTTTATACTGGAATACATTATTTTACATATTAGAGATCTTTAAATGGATATAACTGCCTCTGTACAACAGGGTTTCTATAAATTCGGATAGATCAAATAGCACAGATTCCATGCAGACAAGGATGAGGACCGGAGCTGTACAATCACGAAGAAGTATTCAAGGCCTCCACCACACAGGCTGCACAAATTTTAGAAACCACTTCTGGCAAAGGCTGAAGGGGAAGATGCTACCTGCAAAAGTGCTGGAGAGAACGATGTCTGTGGACTAAGCAATGGCACAATAAATCAACACTGACATTGTACAACCGGTTCCTTTCAGCCAGTTCATGGTTTCTTACCACTGAAAAGAGCAGAGTTGGAAGTTTTTCTTGGAAGTCAAAACAGTGGTACAAATTGCCTAGTAACGCATGCAAGTGCTGTCAAAAAAGCTCGAAGGGAGCAGCTCATTCAGCGTCCCAACGCACAAGAGCATACAAAGCCCACAGCAATTCAGAGGCTGCAATTTTTTTCACCCCAAATAGGTTTCATTCTCCAAGGTAGTGGCCTCCAACCACTCTACTATTAAAAGACCTTACAAAGTCTCTCAGTGAAAAGGGTTCATAAATCTCAGCATTGCTCTTATAATTGCATAGCCACTGAGGTTCATAGGGATGCTCAAGTATCTTCCCTGCAGAGATCCCCACCATTACAAATAGAAACACCATTTTAAAAACAACCAACCAACAAGAAACAAGCACGAAGGGTCTTCTACCGAGATGGCCTTGTAAATGAGCACTCAGCCTATTTCTGGTGCCCAAGTAGTATCTTCTCCAGGGAGCTGCAACAGGGTTTTCAGAAAAGCTGCCCAGCCAGCAGAGTCCGTAGCTGGACGTGCTGAGCCAATGCCGTACCTCCCTCAAGCCAGCCCTATTAAAGTTCAACAGGACACTGTAGCTGATTGAAGATGAATCAAGTCCTCTTTATCTTACTCTAAAAGACAAACAGACAAAACACCTAGGGGATCATTACGTCTACTATCAGAAAACAGCGTTTGCTTTGAGGGCAAGAGATAGCTGAAGCAGAAGCTTTTTTCTCCTATGCCATATTTTTCTTCATTCGTTGTATTTTCCATACTGCTGAACAGAAGCCACTAGTAATTATGACTTCAATTATTTTAATCTTTAAAGGTAAATTACACCGCTTATCCCAGTGGAGACATGTTTTTAAATAAAACATGAAAGTAACACAAATAAAAATGGACACAAATCTAATCAAGCAGGTCCTACTCTTAATAAAATTAAGAAAGAATAATCCCATCATCATAAAAACAAATAGGTTTGGCGATATTTAGGAATATGAATATTATATAATAGAGATATCTTCGCATGTACACTTATTAAGATCTCTGTTGATTTAAATAGCTGAAGTTAGTGCAGTGTTCGCTCCAGTCCGTACGCACAAAAACCAGCCCCCTCCATGCCGACCCCCCCAATTAGCCTCCCCCAACTTATAGCTAAGGTCAAACATCAGTGGAAAAGGGCTAAAAGTGATAAATCTGTGGCATTAACTACTGCACTCCTTTTAATAGAATCCAGCATAAACTCAAAACAGCCTTGCGCTCAGCCTGAACCATTTATCTGAGACAAAAATGTCTTCTTGACAAAAAACAGATCTCCTTTAATAAAAGTAAGGCAGACAGTATTATGCTCTGAGGGAATCCTGTTGCTCTTTTTATATTTATACATATAAAGAATTCTTCTGTAATACACGTAGATATAAAAAGTGAAGAAAATTGATGCCAAATACATGAACATTAGAACATCAAATTAGCCTTTGTGAAAGCTGTTCTTGTGAAGCACTGGTTCTTAAAAGCACTGGTGTTAATGACCAGTGGAATTACGTACGTAGTTAAAATTTTATCATTGAGTACGCTTTTATTTTTAGCTTCTCTTTGCTTTAGACCGAAGTTTCACAACAATTCTTGTTCCCGATAAGTATCTTTGTTTAGTTCAATTGTTATCAACTCCTTACCAAATGAAAATGAACTTTTGAAACTGCAGCAGTCTGCATTTTTTTCTGAAAATTCCTCTTTAATGCAATAAAAAGTTAATAGGGAACAGAAAAAAGCACCAATCACATTTTAAAACATAAAAAGATCAACATGTTATCTTATTTTTATAAGTTATTTTAAAAATATTTCCTCAAATATTTTCATGTGTTTTGGATGATCTGTGAAAGCAACACAATGATATCTCATCAATCACATCGCTCTATCAAAAGCATTAGGAATCCAGTTTTGTATTTTTTAAATGACCGCATATTTCTCTGTCAACTAAATGTTAGATGTTTAACAGATTTACATTCAGTCACAAAACTGGTGACTTTTGAGAAAGGTCATTATTGCAGACTACACGTGGGTGGCCTAGTTGATGAATTAATTAAGAATACAGAAACAAAGGTCGAAAGAAAATAATTTTTCTTTAAAACTCAAGCCACTAAAGTCTTACACATTTAATTCCAATTACTGAAAAAGAGGACATCTGTACAGCTTTAGCTTTATCCATTTCAACTAATTAACAGATTCAAATAAATAGTCATTACATCTAACTGAAAAGTTTGCTAACACTTCATTAGAAGGAAGTTTAAACAAGCACACAACCTTGTTAACATATTTTGGTTTACCACAAAGTTACTTGGGCATCTCTATAATTATTTTTACTCCCTTTACAAATATATCATGACAGCCAACTTCAATAATTCCACATTCCTTTGCATTTATTTAATTACTTCATAATTCAAATTTTCTTAAAGTACCACCAATTTTGAAAGTAGGAGCTATCATATAAACAACTGCTGGGTATGAGATCTCACTACAGTGTCTACATTCATGAGGTTTATTAAAAATATTAAAAATTTAATCCTGTGAGATTACATTGGAAGATTTCTTTGGTCTTTAATTGTATATTTTTCAGTGGTAATCTAGCATTTCAAACCTCTGCCACGGTAGCACTGTACGTTTCACGAAACGCATTGAGTTCCATCTCGCATTCATTACATCGGATATCTTTGAAATGGCAGATATAATACAAAAATTAGTGAAAACTTAAAGCTGTAGTTAGTCCTTCTGGCACAAGTCCCAAACATGTTCCTTAATCGTCCTACTGGCAGATAAATCTATGCGTTCGTACACGTGCACAGAGCAGCTCACTCCATCTTTAGAACCTGTGTTGCTATGCTCAAAGGAAATGGACAAGCACACGCATCATTACTTTGCAAGCCTTTATATGTCTTTTTTTTTTTAAAAAAACAACAAAACACACCTGCTCCCTCACTGAAAAAAGCGCTTATTTCTCTTTCAAAAGGACACGCTTGCTTGCCTTAGATTTACTGCCTTCTTTTTCCATTTTCTTTCTCTTTTAAAAAACACATTTCTTCCTTTTTTTTTTTTTTAGTATATGTTATCTTAAAGATATATTTTATTACTTGGAAATTGTTTTATTTCATTACAACACCCAAATTTTAAGTTAGGCTGTGCAGGTAGATAGAAATCTTTATTGACTTGACAGAGGTGAGGTATTCCTTTTACACTAGGATTCCACTGATGATAACAACTCCCTTCTGCTTCTGCACCTCCCCTCAGTTAGGATTCGGCTGACAACCTCTGAAAACCATGCAGCCACACACAAATATATTTACAGAGTTGCTCGACAAATCTCTGATGAAAGGGGTGCAAGGCTTTCAGACTGTTAATTCAGTCCAGAAAACACTTGGTAGGCATTACCGATTCTCGTGGTTTCCCAGTCAGTTTAGGAAGACCAATGCTTGTAATGGGCGCAGCCATCCAGCAGCATCCCCCATCCAGCAGCAAGGAAATATCCCAAAACTGGCATCTTCATCGCAGGAGGAAGCAG